CCCCCCCCCCGGGGGGGGGGGGGGGGGGGGGAGCCTTCTTTGATGAGCCCCCCCCCCCCCAAGGGCCAGGGCACCCGCTTCGGCCCTGGCCAGCTCCTCGTGGCTGAATGAATCTTCTGCCCCAGCGCTCCCTTTGCACGCAGGCTGGAGGGCCAGACTAGGACCTGGAGCAGCCCAGTTTGAATCCCACCCTGCTGGGCCCTCACACACACTCCCTCTAGCCTACCTCAAAGGGCGGTTGTGAGGACCAAACGGAGGAGGCCAACCTGAGTTGCTTTGGGTGCCTCCACTAGGGACTAAAAATGGGATAGAAATTAAAAGTTCTTTTGCGGAGAATGGACCAGGGCGCGTCTAGCCTCCCTCCCTTTTGCTTCCACTCTGTTTATCAGTTTCCTGCATGAGGGTGAAGGGTTTGGGGGGCTCAAGGACTAGTGCAGCTCCGGGAACACAGCCCGGACTGTGCTGGGGGCCTCCTTGCAGAACCTTGTGGAGCGCCCAGTGAGGGGCCTGGAGCCTGCAGACAGGGCAGAGGCCCCGATCTACAGAAAGGGGTTAAGGTCAGAGATGTTGATAGAATCATAGAATGTTACGAGTTGGAAGGGACCTTGCAGGGCATCTAGTCCAACCCCCTTTTGCAGGAGCAGAGCCGAAAGATAGCCCTACAACACACCCAAAAGAGGGTCGTCCAGCCTCCGCTTGGAAACGTCCAGCAAAGGAGCATCCAACACCTCCCGAGGCAGTCTGTTCCACTGCTCAACCACCCTTACAGTTAGGAAGTCTCTCCTGATATTTAGCCGGTAACAACTCCCTTGTAATTTTCCACCCATTAGATCTGGTCTTGCAATCCGGAGCAAGAGAGAATAGATCTGCTCCATCTTCTACATGACAGCCCTTCAGATACTTGAAGACGGCAATCGTGTCCCCTCTAAGGCTTTTCTTTCCCAGGCTAGACAGACCCAACTCTTTCAGCCTTTCCTCATAAGACTTGGATGCCAACCCTCTCGCCCTCCTGAGGTTGCCCTCCTCTGGACACGCTCGAGCTTGTCAGCATCCTTCCTCAATTGTGGTGCCCAAAACTGGA